GGTATCGGTTAACTTTTACGAGTTAACCGATACCACATTTTACAGTATCGGTCCCGATACCCGATACCAGTATCGGTATCGGTGCATCCCTAATTCTAACATAATCACTTTCTAATTCAAATACAGAGGAATACATTTTTTTACTTTTTAAAACTCTGTGTTTGTCACCATTTATTCAATGCAATTTCCTTTTATTAATCATTATATTTAAATAGTCAGACATTCAGTGGCTCCTGTGTGTCGCTTTCACCCCCACTCTGCACCACACACACCTACACACCAAGGTCAGACTCTGCACAGGCTCTCATATTGCATAGATTGTCATGATCCTGGGTCCTTTTGACCCAGCGTTTTGTGTTTTCTGTTATTGTGATTTTGGTTCTGTTCTTCCTCTGTTTAGTGTTTATTCGGTTCTGCCCATGTATTCCCGTGTTAAGTCTGCGTTTCTTAGTCCGTGTCCTTGCATGTGTAAGTTCCTGTTTTATTGTGAAGGTCTCTGTCTTATGTCAGTGTGTTCTCTTTACGTTTCCCCTGCCTCATCAGCTGTTATGTCTTCCAGGTGTGTTTCCCATCCCCTGATTCCTGGCGTGTGTATTTATAGTGTGTGTTACCTCGTCCTCGTTGCTGGTTCGTCTGTGTTATTTGGTGTTTTCGTGTCTGTGAATCTCCTGCCGTCTTCCTGTGAATTCTCCCTGCAAGGTACTCCCATTCGTGTTCTGGTTTTGTGGTTTAAGTTCTAGTTTTCCCAGTTTAGAGTATTTTCAGTTCCGTTCTCGCCACCTTTTCTTTTGTGTTGTACTTCATCCCTTTGGTTAATAAAGCTCGCTCACTGCTACGCAGTCTGCATCTTGGGTCCATTTATATTCACACACGGCCTGCCTCGGTACCCCGTGACATAGATAATATTTTCTTATCTATTATACGTGTTAAACTTACACCTATTCATTTTTAGTATACATGCTTATATTCTGATTGGAATGAAGGATAATTAACTATCAGCAAAGTCACATATGAATTATGGTTCTGTCTTCAACCATTAATACTCCTTCCTTCATTTAAAATCATCTTTGCTTGGATTGGCAACAGCATTATTAAATGCTTTATTGTTAGCAAATAGGGGAAAGCTCTGTTTCAGCACTCTAATTATTTTCAATCACATAAGGCTGGATGTTGAGATCTTTTACCTCCTCTCAGCTGTGAGGACAAAGACAGTGGGGGACTTTAGTTTCTCTAAACCTCACATCACCTGACAAACCTGGATCTTGTTTCAGGGACTCTCATGTATTTTTGTATCTAAGCAGTGACAAACTTTTTTGATGATAGTTTGTCTGGTTTAGTGTAAAGCGTGCGCCTACCTTTGTGTACCAGAAGGATGACAAGGTTGTTGCCCTTGTTCTTACTGATAATCCAAAAATGAAATTATATCATATCTTTCTTGGAACTGGAAAAACTATTTTTAGTTGTATAGAAAATTAATTTCTAGCAGACATTGTTTCTTGATTTGGAAAAACTCTTCCACTTTACTCTATTTTGACAGTATTTTGGTAGCATGTTTAGTGTCATAGAAGCTGGATTTTTTCAGTACGCTGTTGACTGTAGCAACCAATTCAAGTTTAATCATAAGGTTTAGTTTACCTGCAGTTGATACATTGTAAAATTGTGCTTTTTTGCTAACAACAACATCCTATTATTTTGTCTATTAATGTCTTCCACAGATCAGTAAGCAGCAGCTACAGACAGTAAAGGAGCGTTTCCAGGCGTTTCTTAATGGAGAAACTCAGATTGTAGCTGATGAGGCGTTCATCAATGCTGTACAGAGCTACTATGAGGTAAGTTGCCCTGTTTGATTTAGATTAGTTGGCTTGAAAAAAATATTTAATGTAATTATGCATCAACTGAATCATTCCAATAGTGTGCTTTTGAAAACTGCTGTCTGAGAGGCCACACGCCACCTTTTGTAGCTGACCTCTTGTCTTCTTGTTAAAGAAGAAACATTCACATATATTTCAGTTAATTAGTCAATTATGTTACATAATATATTCTCTTCACTTTTTCCTCTTTATAACTGTGTGCCAATTACAATATACTCAATTTATACAAATTTTCTCACCAAGTTCTTACAAGCTCTTTTGTAACACATTTGTTTTTATACAGACCTGCAAGCTCTTGACTCTATAAGACCTTTGAAGGTCTGGAATTAAGTCAAAACTCAATTCGTTATAGATAAATAACCTACTTCTAAAATGACATATTAAAGAGTCCACATGTTGTGCAGATTTGTACTTAAGTCACTGTTTTGTTAGGTTTAGGCAAAAAATGTCATCCTTTGTAATAAAAAAAGAAAATAATAATAATAATAATAATGGATTGCATTTATATAGCACTTTTCAGGGCCCTCAAAGCGCTTTACGATTCCACTATTCATTCACTCTCACATTCACACACTGGTGGAGGCAGCTACAGTTGTAGCCACAGCTGCCCTGGAGCAGACTGACAGAGGCGAGGCTGCCATATCATGCCATCAGCCCCTCTGGCCAACACCAGTAGGCGGTAGGTGAAGTGTCTTGCCCAAGGACACAACGACTGAGACTGTCCAAGCCGGGACTCGAACCGGCAACCTTCCGGTTACAAGACAAACTGCCAGCTCTTTGAGCCACGATTGCCCCCGTTCTATTATGTTAATTATTATTTAATTAACATAGAAGTCCCTGTGTTTATCAAGAGTTGATGTTAAAGTTGTGCTCTTGTAAAACCTACTTTAAAACAAACTGATCTAATGGTTTGCAAATTCATTGCAGGTGTTCCTGAAAAGTGACCGTGTGTCCCGGATGGTGCAGAGTGGCGGCTGCTCAGCTAGTGACTCTCGGGAGGTTTTTAAGAAGCACATAGAGAAACGTGTGCGCAGCTTACCTGAAATTGATGGGCTAAGCAAAGAAACAGTGCTGAGCTCCTGGATAGCTAAATTTGACACCATCTACCGAGGTGAAGAGGACCCCAGGAAACACCAGCAGCGTGTAACAACCAGTGCTGCCTCTGAACTCATCCTTAGCAAGGACCAACTATATGAGATGTTCCAGCAGATCCTGGGTATCAAGAAGTTTGAGCACCAGCTCCTTTATAATGCCTGTCAGGTCAGTAAATTAACAGACTTTTGTAGGGAAAATATAAGTTTGCTGTTGTATATAATTTAACTTCCACTTTTTTAGACGTTACTGTTGAATGTGGAACGTTAGTTGGTGAGGGTGGCCATGGCAGAAAAAGAATTGACAACCTTTGTTCTTGAGATTTGGAAACAGAAGTACTGATTTTGAAACAATTAGATCATATAAGGTCACGAGAACTAAGGTTGTTGAGTAGTTCAGTCAAAAGATACTTGCCTAAACAGTGCCTTGGAACTTCTTGTAACTTAATGCAAATAACTCCACAAAAAAGTAAGCCAGAAGAAGCTGTCTTTCTTTCTCTGTGAATTTAATATTGGCAGCTGTAATGACAAGACAAAAGTAAGACATGATCAGCGAAGGCAGACAGGCATCATCACAGTCATCAGTTTTTTTTAAGAAACATATTTTTTTCACGTTTCCTATAGCTTTAGTTTAGACAACCATGAGAGCTTGTACTAAAGTCCCTTTTCCATTAGTAGATACTCAGATTGATTGCCACAACTTGACTCGGATCAACTGGTTTTCCATTACAAAAAAGTAACAGTCATAGCATCATTGTCACTGTCATTGCTTCCATACAGAGATGATCCAATATTAAAATGATAGTTATTGCATCCCTGCCATGTGAACTTGAGTGACATCTCATTCTTAATCTATAGGTTGTAATATGCCCCCTCTCTGGGGCTGGGGTTGGCTGATGATCTGGTTATAGAGTCGCTGCTGGCTGCCCCAGAGAGTGGAAGGATATGTGTCTCTGTGTGTGTGTGTTTGTCTGCGTGGGACTAGGCCTGGGTGTGGGTCTTCCTGAGCCTTAGTCCTTCTTTGACATTGTTATTGAGGGTGAAATAATTCCCCTCCCCACTGCTCCACACTGGTTGTTGCTCCCCCTGGGACTTGGGCACTTGAGCCCCTTTATCCATTAGTACCTACTCGGATCGACTCACCGTGGATCGCCACAACTCAACTTGGATCGCCTGGTTCTCCATTACAATCCAGTACTATCTTATGTGCATGGTTGTCCTCAAAGCAATGCTGATGAGCGTCCCATGACATAATTAGTACAGTGGCTTGCAAAAGTATTCGGCCCCCTTGAACTTTTCCACATTTTGTCACATTACAGCCACAAAGATGAATCAATTTTATTGGAATTCCACGTGAAAGACCAACAGAAAGTGGTGCACACGTGAGAAGTGGAACAAAAATCATACATGATCCCAAACATTTTTTACAAATAAATAACTGCAAAGTGGGGTGTGCGTAATTATTCAGCCCCCTATGGTCTGAGTGCAGTCAGTTGCACATAGACGTTGCCTGATGAGTGCTAATGACTCCTTCTCTCACCCCAACCAGTCACAGCAGATGGC